CAAAGTTTGACCAAATATTCCATTGGTGGGTGGTCAGCAGCAATTTATTTTATTTTTATTTTTAAAAATATATTTTTATTCATTTCAGAGAGAAAGCGAGAGGGGAGAGAAATAGAAACATCAGTAATGTTAGAGAATCATTGATCAGCTGTTGTTGTCTCCTGCAAGCCCCACACTGGGGATTGAGTCCGCAACCTGGGCATATGCTCTTACTGGGAATCAAACTGTGACCTCCTGCTTCATAGGTCGAAGCTCAACTGCTGAGCCCCACCAGCTAGGCTGCTCAACAGCAGTTCAGATTAGGGCCTGGCCACTCTACTCTCAGCATCACTTGGTTCTCTTGGCTGTTCCTCCCATCCACTGCATCAGAATCTGCATGGAAGCTGACTTTACAGTGAAAGAATCCTGCAAGTCACCCCCAGTGACTCACTCCCACTTATAGTGTTATATCATAGCAGTGGCGCCTCCTGAGATGTTCCTAAGGGAGAGGTGAGTCACAACAACAACAAGTGGGGTCCTGAGACCCAGCAGTCCTGACCCATGGAAGACATTGTCCCCCTTGAGAACTTCAAAGACCGTGCTTCTGGTTGTGCTGAGAAAGCTCGTGGCCTCTCTACCAATGTTCCTTAGCTTTGTGCCCCACGGAGGCTTTTAAATTCTGTCACTGAATGTGTTTAGTCTCAGAGTATCTGCAAAGACCATGGATTCTTAGGTAGGTCCTCTTAGCTTCAGAGATATGCAGTGCATTTCTAGCTTTAGAGACTCCTAGAGTGACTGTGTTTTAAAAAGTTACATGCATAGAAATGAAATAAGACATAAAAGTCAAAAGTGTCTTGGTCAGTGTGGCTCAGTTGGTTGGAGGGTCATCCTGTACACCCCAAGGTGGCAGGTTCATTTTCTGGTCAGGGCACATACCCAGGTTTCTGGTTTGGTCCCCAGTTGGGGCTTGTGTGGGAGGCAACTGATAAATGTTTCTCTCTCTCTCTCCCTTCCTCTCTTAAAAATTTGTCAAAAGCTATTTTATGCCCCCACCCCCCACCCCATGCAGCCATTATTGGAGTGAATCTGGTTGGTGTATACCATCAATATTAACCCTGGTGAGACTGTGTAAATGTTAAAAATTGAATAACTGTCGAAATATGAGGCCTGCATTAGGCTTGCAGCCTCAGTCAACAGTCCCACACTGCCCTCGATGGCTCTGCTCAGTCACCAAGCACCAGGGACTGTGACAGGACCTCGGGTAGAGACTGCTGTGGGCTCACAGTGATGGCCAAGGCAGGCTGATCAACAGGCCTGGTTTCCTGAATGGCTGATCCAATTATATGAGAGCTCACCATGAAGGAAAACATACTTCAAAGCGGTCGCTTTGCTAGTGAAATTTCACCCCTTCCATGGAGGAATTCGTCTTGGCCCTCCAACTGTCACTGTGGTGGGTAAATGTCAATATGATAAAGCATTTGTTAACTTGGAAGGAAGAATTTATCTGGCAGATTCAGGTTCCCAGACTTGACCATTTTGGTATGTTCTGATCAGAGCTGGACTATTTTGTGGCTCCAATGTCCTGTTCATATAGTGACATCTCTCCAATTTGTACATTTCTTGGCATCTTAAGTATCTGATAAGACAAAAGTATTCTTCTCTATTTTTAGTATCTTCTGGAACTTCACAGTTTTGAAACTGGGGAATTAATTATTTCATATAGATGTGAGGGCCTTTAAAAAATCTCTTTTAATACATTGTTTGCTCTCAGCAAAAATCCTGGTTAAAAGCAGGCAAGATGGTAGCAAAATATTTTAAAATATGCAAAAGCACCACTTCTAGCTCCTCTCAGGAGGGCCAGCATCTCAGAGCAAGCCCATTCTAACTCCAGCTCTGAAATCAGAACAAATTGGATAAAAATAGAAATGAACGATTCTATTCTTTATGAAATCTAACAAATTATGTGTTGGGAGGAAAGGATTTGCTATCATGTATAAAATATTTTAATATTTATATCTGATGATAAAACCATGACATGTTTATAACCATTCTATCAAGCATGTTTACAACAGGGCCACTGCTCACAGCTGAACACGCAATAAATATGCACAGACACACCGGGTATGAAATATACATCTTGATTTTATAATCGTGTGTGCTTTATTTTTTACACAAATGGAATGGAAGTGTCGAATATTTACACTTAACAGGAGTGTAAGCTGTGCAGTGTCTCCGTAAACTCCAGCCAGGCAAGGAGTCTTTCCCCTCCCTCCCATCCTGCACTACAGTAGCTCGATGGAGGAACATCCTGTCCGAGAGAAGCACAAAACTGTCCTATTGAAAGGCTCTAACCAGGGTACAGTCTGGTGCACTCACTCAGGAAACACAAATTCAGAAAGGAGAGAAGAAAAGTTTGCCATCCCATTGGGAGTCAACCTTGCCAGTTGGTTGTTCTCATGAGTTGCTAGGGAGATTCTGAATTCTCTCTTGGAGATGAGCTTTGTCTAAATTGTCCACCCGTCTTAGCTTGTCCTCAGCTGCTACAAGAAACTGCACAGCTGTACAAGACATGATTTCCGAAGCACAGTTTTCAGTGAGGAAGGATATTTACAGACTGGAGCGAGTGTGTGGGTTTCCATCCACATTCATTCAGACCCAGTGTAGTATGTGTATACATGACATACATACCCCATATACCATACGTACATAGAAGTAAAATGTCTAGCCACAGAATTCTCTAGAGAGTTCTCTGGCTAATCAGTTGTCACAGGAGGTACTCCACATGCTTTAAGGGAAATGTCCCCTTATTTCCCCCTAGGAGAGACAAATTATTATAATAAACTTAGGAACTAGCCTGAGTCCTTGACTTAAATATTTTTGTAGGAATTTAGGCAGGACCAAGACAGGAACAAAAAGATGTTATTTCACCAGTAAGTCCATTCAATCTCACCAGCTGAAAAGCAGAGGGCGGGAGGGTATTTCACATAAAAATGGTGGTGGTGGTGGGGGGAGCTTATGAATGGGGAAAAAATCTTTCTCCAAATCAAGGTGATGGCATGGCTTCAATGAGAAGGAAGAGTTTTGCTGTCAGAATAATTGTTGGGGCCGGAGTCTGCCTTTATTGGAAGGAAGTGTCCCTAGAGCCACGGGCTGGTGCTGGGAGTGGGCTTGCTTTGGACCAGCCTTCCGGCAGAGGGGCACCCAGGTGCCGCAGAGCCCAGAGCACATGCAGCGTCACTGCCAGGGCAGCGGTGCAGGCTGGCTCAGTGGGGCAGGACCTCATGCTCAGCGTTGCCTTCTGGGCTGCGTAGGTGAAATGGTGACCCCAAGTATTTGTGTCACTAGTCCAGCTTATGGACTTGCTGTCTGAATCAGCCACGAGCCCTTATAGGACAGAAACATTAAGAAGTGCGGTATTGGAGAGGAGATGACCAGAAATGTGAGGAAAAGAGAAAGAACGGGAAAGGAGCCCAGACAATGTGGCTCAGTAGTTGAGCATCGACCTATGAACCAGGAGGTCACAGTTCGGTTCCTGGTCAGGGCACATGCCTGAGTTGTGGGCTTGTTCCCCAGTGTAGGAGGCGGCCGATCAATAATTCTATCATCATGGATGTTTCTATCTCTCTCTCCCTCTCCCTTCCTCTCTGAAATTAAAAAAAAAAAGAGTGGGAAAGGAGGGGAAGAGGAATAAGAAGGGGAAAGAGACAGAATAAAGAAGAGATAGACAAAGAGATGGGTAATAAAGGGGAGAAAAGACTGGTAAGGAAGGCTCAAAGGAGAGGTACACAAAAACATCGATGGAATGAGATGGAAAGAGAAGGGGGAGAGCAGAGGAAGAATGAGAAAGAACCAGAGGTGAGAGCCAGAGGAGCGGAGAGCTCTTCCCTGGCTTCGAGTCCTTTAGGGCTGGCAGTGGGATCTGAGACAGCTCACAGGCACCTGAGTGCAGCTTCGTAAAGATGGCTCACTAAACACATGGAGCCGACCCAGGAACTTGGGGCTGGGAGAAAAGGCCTGCAAAGAGGTGGCCGACAAATCCCACGGGAGAAGAGCAAAAAACAGATGCCCCCGCAATTAGCTGACAAGTGGGGTTTTGAATTTGGTAAAGCTGAGACCCCCGTGGTGCTACACATTGTACCAGAGCATGAAAAATAGCACCAGTGACACGATCTGGCACTTTTCCGAAAGGGCCCAGCATGGGAAGGTGACATTGCGCCCCCAGCAAGCCTTCCGATTGGAGAGAGCTCCGGACAAAGTTTGCAGTGTTAGCACCAGTCTGGCCCCAGGCTCCAAGTGCATCGGCACCAGATGTGATCTGGGTAACTCTCCTGCCGTTTCCACACGACTTGTCAGGTTTGCTGCAAAATACACCCGTTCACTGGAGCCATAGAGACCTCAACGTTGGGAGGCGCAAGACAACACAACAAATGGAGGTGTAAATTCTATAGGAAAAGACCCTCTCACCAATTTGCTTGGTGATTCTTCAAGCAAATATATATGTATATATATATATTTATATAAATCTACATAAAAAATCAGTGCAAATGCCAATTCTAGTCTGAAAGCATCTACACTAGGAAAATAAATAAATATATTACTACAAAACCAAGGGTTGGTGGTTCAGTTTGATTGTACTCAGCCACAACAATACTTAATATTAAATGAAAAGCACGTCGCACGACCCGCGGAAACATCTACTCGTTAATGACAGTCCTTTAAATAAATGGTTGCATGCTCAGTTGAGAAACCAAAGGAGTAATCATGGTGGCCTAAAGATAGAGCTGGGACCAGGAATGGCATTCTGGTGGCAGGAAAGGTCTGGGAGCATTATTGATGAAAGGAGACCTCGACCTGAAACTGGCTAATGGCAAACGTGGTCACCTCTTTAACACTTTGAGCAATCTAAGGGGATTTCTAGAAATTTAACTTTCATTAGAGGGTAAGTACATTGCCAGCCCTTTCATTAGCAAAGGCAGCCTCAAGACTACAGGTAGATGCATGATTTTGCTTTTCTGTGTTTGTTTTGGTGACTGCAGCCAGGCAGAGAGTGGTAGTTAGTGTAAGATGAACACCTCCTGCTTTTGGAAAGAGACCCTCATTCTGAGCTCTAATGTTCTTCCTGTGAAAAGCCCCACCACCGCTGATGGCTCTGTCTCTTGCTTTCCCACCCCAGCCTGCATGCTGGTTTGCTGCACAGTGTGGCAGAATTCCTGCCAGGTCTGGATGTACCCCAGGAATAAGGCGATGGGGCTGAGTCTGGGCCTGCATAGAACCCAGAGTTGAGTGGTTATTGAGATTACAGAAAAGTCTCTCTCTAAACACCTTGGGCACAAGCAAAGCTAATGTCACCACCAGCTCTAATGTAGGATATAGGCTTTGGGAGGTTCCTTTCTTTTAAAAAAAATCATTATTATAATCGCTAAAAAATAAACTTGGTCCAGGTGCAGCCCTCAAGAAAGGCAGTTTAATTGGTTGACCTCTAAGTCATTAGTTGTCTTTCCTTATTGTTCTCTCTCTTTGCCCTGTATACAGAAAAAAGTCTGCACCCCTCAATCCCAACCAGATAATGTTCTCTCTCTCTTCCTCAAAGAAATAGTGCATCTTGGGACAGATCTCTCTATGACTCTAGCATCTCTGGCTGTTAGAAAACCTGTTACTTGTGAAACAGACAAATTCAAGTGTCCTAATTACTCATGATTGGCCAAAATACTACATGATCCTTTAAGAATTGTATGTAAGTAACTAGGAACAAAGTTATTCAACTATTTGCATGGCAGGCCCAGGTTGTTTATCAAGAGAAAAGCAAAAACTTCCCTTTAGCTTGTTGGTATGAGTTTGTCTCCGAAAGCCATCAGCTTTAAAATGCATTAACCAAATGTCTTCCAAAAAATATCCATGAGGGCAACTCATTAAAGGATGTGCTCCATGAGTCTGTCACTAATAGGATAGGGAGGTCATGGGAGGTGAGTAGGGGAGAAGTCTGTGTCAGACTTGGAAGGAACTCAGATGCTCTTAGTGGATCATTGGCAACAGAAGGGAGAGTGCAATGTTCAGTTCTTGAATTTGATAATCTGCAGGTAGTGCATACAGTTCGTCTTTCCATTAATTCGTCTTTACAAAATATTTCACAAAACTTTTTTAACCTATAGAAATGTGTTTCTATACATTTAATATATTTTTATTGTATAAATTATTCTCATCTTTAGTGCCTTCTTTCACTTTATAAATGGCAAAATAGACAATAAACAATCATGAAGCTAACCCAGGTGGAACCCCCTCTTCTCAGTAGGGTCAGTCCTCCATACACTCGTGAGTTCTATGAAATGCTCGTCTTTGCAGGTGCCAGTCAAAGAAGCTACACGCACATCCTTCCCTGGTATTATGCCGTCTCCAAAGGGACTCCTTTCTTTTTTTTTTTCCTTCGTTCTTTCCTTTGCTCGTTAAGAAATCAAAGGATGTGCATATAAAAAGTCAAAGTGGACCAATTACAGGTGTGGGTAATGGGAAGGTTGGTGAAGTTCAAGTGCTGGCAACTTTTCTTTAAAGCAAAAAAAAAAAAATACAGAGAGCTCAGCAGCTAAGTCGGCTCTGGACATCTGCTGGGTGAGGAGGCTGCCCAGCTTGGGCACCAAGCCCGTCAGAGGTTCATCCCTATGCCTGGCCCCTTGAGCAAACCAAAGCCTTCCTGCACACCGCAGTGTCTTTTCTGTCCCACCCTTCGGCCCCTCTGTTTCCTTCATGGCTTCACACAGTTTGTGTTGTACATTCATCAGAATTCACATTGACTGCAAAACATAAATGCAACAAAAACATAAAAGCCTCCAAGTAGTAATATTATATATATATTTTGTTCTTCTAAATGCTCTTCTGTCGTTGTCAGAGGTGCAGTAGCTAATTTATAACTTTTCCTTCGAGGGGATCCAGATGAAAGGCCCAGACTGCTCTTCAATGACAAGCTTGCACTGGTTATATATATCTTCTAAGCTATCTCCTTGGACAATAGCTAGAACGAAAGCAAATGCACCCGGCGTTAGGAATCAATCATCAATCACACAGCGGAAGCTCAAATCAGTGATAGACAAACTCATCAGGAAACTGAGTGTGACTTTTCACTAGTAAGAAAAAGCAGAAAGTTCACTTAAGCAAGGTCACACCAATGATGAAAAAAGTGCTTTTCAAGGCATGTTCTGGATCAGCAAGAAATGCAACACAATCTTTCCCCTTTCTACATGTCTGTCTGTTGTTCTGGACAATGAATCATCCATTTATTTGCATTTTATGAGTATCTCCTCTGGGCCATGCCCTGAGGTAGGTATCAATCAATTTTTCAGATTGAGAGCTCCCCATTTATTAAGGAAAGTTGGCTTTATATGTCTGTACTGTACTTACTTAGACACAGAGGAAATAATAAAGTTCTTGGAAGAAACTTTAGTTAACCTCCTCAGCCCCCAAAACTTTTAAAAGGAAATCCCATTCATTCTCCAAGTAATCTGGTAACATGAAGTTTTACCCTACATACTCAAATTGAGAATATCTTATGGTAAGTACTTATAAGAAACATAAATAGGAGGAAACATAAACAAAATGATGAACTGTGTATTACTAAAATAGCAAGTCACTTAGATTTAAGTACATTTTATTATCTCCTGGTGTGGGGGGGGGCTATCTTGTAGCTACATCTCTAAAACACATCAGTACTATCCTTATTACAGTAGGGCTTAGAAATAAATTGCTACTGAAACATGGTTTAGGTTTTTAAAAACACTCTTCAGAATGTATTGATTATTGTATTGTACGCCCAAATATTAGCCACTGTCAAATATACATTGTTTTGACTTGATGATCCTACCTGGATGCTCTTTTAGGATGAAATACCACTCTTATCTTTGTTATTAGAAAGTTTACCTAAGATTACCTGATTCAACATATTTGCAAACTGCTAAGCCACTGGTGTATTCTATTCTGAGTAAGATAAAAAAGAAAATATCTAACTTCACGTAAGGTTATTCAGGAGGAAAGTTCTTGTTTTCAAACTATCAGTTGTAAGGCAAATTCCACAAATGTTGCTCACTCTTTGGATTTGATCAATGTTTCATGAATATATATGAGAGAACCCAGGATACCCAAGATAAAAAAAAAATCGTCCTTTATTCCCCAAACTTCATGTTTCCAAGGAAATATTTAGTATATGTGCTGCCAAAGCGAGCACTCCAAGGAAATATTTAAAAAGAAAAAAAAATAGTTTTGTTTGGACAGGGAATTAATTGAAACACAAGGAAGTATTTCAAGATTCTAGTTCACATGTGCTAATGGGGAGGCCGACCTCCAGGTCACTGAAGCGGAGGTTGGAGGCCCTGAGATTGCTGCTCTAGAGTGACTGCTTTGGACAGTGCACATTTTGAGCCCTCAAAGTTTCTTTTTTCAAGTTTTAATGAAGTATCAATGCCTAAACTGTCCTTAGTAGCAGGAAGTAGCTCAGTGGCATCTGGCGTCCCTGGCTTTGGATAGGGCCCCTGGGAACTTGGGAGCTGGCTGCAGCTTAATTCAGAGCAGGGGGAATCCAGAGTCCGAAGCAAATGGGTAAAGCAGAGGGAAATTAGGGATTCTCAGCAGGAAGGTTTTGAGGCCCAGATATACCAGGCCCTCAATATGCCAAATGTCAGGCAATTTATCTCCTTTATTACAGTTCAAGGGGAAATGAGCTTACCTGTATTAGACTTATCGAGGTGAGTACTTTGTAAGTTATATAAATGTCTGGTCACTATTGTACACTTGAAACTAATATAATATGTACAGGGTGAGGCGAAAGCAGGTTTACAGTTATGAGGATGCGAAACAGTTTATTCTTATTTATTAATTATTGTACAAATTTCCCATACCAACAATTGTAAACCTACTTTTGCCCCACCCTCTATGTCAACTGTAATTGAAAAAATTTTTTTGAAAGAACTTACCCGTAAAATACTCTCCAAATTCTTGTTCTAGCTTAATTGCACGATCGTAGGTTTTCTTGGCCTGCTCCTCTGTGAGACGCTTGTTCATCTCCCTGGGAAAATGAGGGTTTAGTATTAGAACGCACAGGGACTATTCAAACCCTGAAAAATTAAAATGTCTGGCAAAAACGAGTCCTGCAGGAGACTTAGTGTAATCTTAGCAGCAGCGTCCTAGGCTTCATTTGGGACTCATCTTTGCTGGAATAATTTTTAGCAACAAGGACTCCTTCCCAGGAGCTCACTCTCTCCCCTGCAAGCTCTTGGCCCCACAGTGGGTTGAGGCAGAACCTGTCTCCTTATGATTTCCAGTTACTGGTCCCTGTTCTGCCCTCTGCAGCCCCACAGGGTAGGGCTAAACTCCCTTCCCCTACGACAGGCACCAGGGTCTTGAAATCAAGCCCTCCAGTGTGCCTTGAGGTTTCCACTCCTTCAGAAGAAACTGTCCTACATCCTTCATCTATTCTCTCCTTGGATATGATTTCCGAATCCTAACCTTCCTTGGACTTTGTTCTAGTCTATCTAGATCTCTTTTAAATGTGGGCTGTAGAATTGAACAAGATCTTCCCAGGGTGGTCAGAGGGAGGAGAGGGCTGGCCAGAAGGGAAGGTACATCACAGCATTTTGGACCTCATTACATCTGAGGGAACATGACTTAGCTGTTCTCAGGTCCTGACCCCTCAGAAAGCTTTGATTTCTCGACTCCCCCATATTTCCCAAGAGCTGCTCCTCAACTTTAATGTGCAACAGAAACCATGTGGAGTGGAGAAACACAGAAAGTGCTTCCAAAGAGTTATAGGAGAGGTGAAGGCCCCTTAGGCCCCTTAGGCATGTGTGTCTTTTTCTTCTCACCTGAGGACATGCTTAGAGAGAGGAAAAGGGGGGGGAGGAGGGAGGGGAAGAGTGGAGGGGAGGGGAGAGAGAGAGAGAGAGAAAGAGAGAGAGAGAGAGAGACAGACAGACACATCAATGCAGTTGCTTTCCGTACATGCTCTGACCTGGGGATTGAAGCCACAACCTAGGTATGTGCCTTGATCGGGAATCGAACTGGCAACCTTTTGGTGCACAGGATGACACTCAACCAACTGAGCCACTCTGGCTGGGTAGGTGTGTGTATCTTTCAGGCTGAAAGGCATTCTGCAGCTCTTGCTGCTCAACTTTTACAAATGGCAAGGCATGTCTGTAGCAACCAGCGCCCTGAAATTCCTCTGTTTTTATAATCAGATGGAATCTCAAGGAGCTGCTGAAGAAGGCTTGAATTAAAGTGAACATAGAGGGAGTGTAACAATCCATAGTGCTGGTTCCAAAATATTTTCAAATAGACTGCAAGCAAGTACTATCAAATAGTGAGCCAGGATAGAGGCGCTTGTTAAGGAACAATCTCTAATGCTCAATTTGCTTATTTTTGTTCTGATAGAATGGGCTGTAAAGGAATTATGCCTGAGATTCTCTGTCCCTTTCTTTCTGTTGGCCTGTCAACCATTGGTGAATCATTAACTGTATATAAGTACTGCTTAATCATTGTAAGTTTATTTAAATCCAACCGACTAGTAGTCTCAAGGGCAAATTGAGGTGAGAGAAAAATGGAAAATAACCTAATCTCCTGATCCCTAACCAGTGGCAGCTTTGTCTTCCCATGTCCTCTAGTATTAATTTTTTTTTTTGCCTACCAAATTACACTTTTTAAATACACATTATTTTATCTTTTCATGTTTTTAAAATAAAAAACATTTATTAATCAAAGCCTGCCAGTCATTGCCTCTGATCATCATAATACCAGTGTTGACTGCACTGGGCTGACAGAAGTCCGGCCAAGAGCAGAGATGTTTAGTTGGTCCATTGGGATGTGTGGACCAGATGGGTGTAGAATTTCGAAAGCATTGCTGCCTTTGCATGCCACTTAGGAAGCCAGAGATCTGAGTCTGGAACACATGGTCTTAGTCGATTCCTTTTTTTCAGAGCAAATAACTGAGGCCTGAAGTAGTAGAGAGACTTGCCTAAGGTTGTACATTTAATAAAGAGTAAATCTGATGCAAGAACTCAAGGTTTTTTTTTGTTTTTTTTTTAAACCATTTTTAAGTCAAACAGACCTTCTATTATACCAAGACTCTTTCAAAAGAGACTTATTTGAAAAAAAAAATTCCAACCAAAGTCAGAATCATTAACATGATTCTGGACATAATGCTGATGGCTGCAATATAAAGAAATGGGAATTTCCTGAATTTCTGCTGTTGAAATAAACTCATCTTGTTCTGAGGGATGGTATCTATGATCCTCCTCCCACATAGCACAAGCCCTAGAAGCTGTGAGTGGCTGTCCCTCTCGGGTGCAGAACATGCTGGGCTAAATGAAGAGATACATTACACAGGAAGACAGTGTTTTGCTCCAGATGTCAAGGAATCATGTAGCTCGGGATCTTCTTTGACTTCCCTGGGCCATGCTGGTCTGTCTGCTCGGAATTCCTTTTGTACTTTTTGTAGCAATGACTAAATTTAGGTTTTTAATTCTCTAATATATGATTTTTTTTTTTTTGCCTAACCTAGGAGTTCTTCAAGGGCAGAGACCATGGCTTGTTTATCAGCATGTGGCAAGGACCCTGACTCAACACATTGAAAGAATAAGTGGATGAATGAATGAATGGACAGCTAGACAAGGAAATATAATTATGTCACAAAGACAGGAGTGAAAACAGGCCATCATAGGAGCAAAAAGGTAAGAGCACACTGGGGGTGGCAAGGCGAAAGCTTCTCATTGCCATGGGGTGGGGCAGGGACAGAAGTCACAGGGGCACACTATAAAAAGAACATCTCTTTCAAACACTCCCTCCATTTCATGCTTCTCTGGAGAGTCAGCCATGTGTGTGCTGATAAGCTCTGTGGTTTGATGTGGAAGATGCGCTTGAGAAAATGTGTGATGATGTATCAATGCCTGAATGTGACAGCTGCCATGCTCTTGTTCCGGCTGACCTAGCCTTCACTCCTCCTGGGGTGTGAGCGACTCAGGAGAGCCTTGCCCCTGACGTAAAACCCTTGGAAAACGGAACTGGAAAGTACACATTCCGCATTTATGAATGAGGGCACATTGGTTGGAATGTCTCCACTACTGCACTGGAGACCTATGGATGTGGCTGCAGCCATTCTGACAGATTCCTGGTCCTCATTGAGGAATCCAGCCTTCAGTATGTTTAATTTTCCTTGGTGATAAGTGGCTGTGACAATGCCTTAAGGCAAAACGAAATAAGTCATCTCATAGTTGTGGAAGGAAGTAGACCTACTGAGCACCAGATGGGACTGTCTCCCAATCTCACGTGGACCCAAATGTGCAACTGCTATTTCTCCCTCAGGCCTCACTTCCTAGGAGCCATTTATCCCACTGTCTGTTGACGATGTGAAACTTATTTTTCTATTTATGAAACAGGCTTTTAAGATGCTGTTCCCAGGATGCGAGGGCTAGTTTTCTATTCTTCTTAATGTTAGCATTGCTCATAAAATTTATGAGGCTCTTTAAAGATTATAAATTACTTTTACATAATGAAATTTGTGGTTGCTTAATTCACTTTGTGCAATACGCCACACAGTATCCTATATGAGGGGAAATTTAATACATGCTATCGGGGATAATATGATCAAGAACCACTATTTTATTGTTAACCCAGGTTTTTCCATGTGCCAACTATGGGCAAAGCTCTTTATGTTAAAATTTAACACATAAATTCACAGGGCTGAATTGCTGGCGATCTCCTTATTTTATTTTTGGACCCTGATAAAAACTTTGCCCATCTTTTATTTATGAGAATATAGTCTGCTTTTAAGATATCACTCTGGCAATTTCCTCAGAGACCCACTATATATTTAACTGAATTCTCTTGGGCTGCAATTCCAGCTACTGCAACTTGCTTCATCTCTTCATCCTCAGAGAAGATGGTGGAGCAGGTAGCCGATAGCCTCTGCAAGCAACTGTGTTCACCTCTGGGAGTAAGTAACTTTTTTGATCTTTCCATGAACACTGTTTTCCAGAACTTTGTGGTTCACTTCTGCAGCCTGTCAGATACCCTGAAGCAGGGGTCCTCAAACTTTTTAAACAGGGGGCCAGTTCACTGTCCCTCAGACCGTTGGAGGGACGGACTATAGTTTTAAAAAAAACTATGAACAAATTCCTATGCACACTGCACATATCTTATTTTGAAGTAAAAAAACAAAACGGGAACAAATACAATATTTGTATTTGCATGTGGCCCGCGGGCCGTAGTTTGAGGACCCCTGCGGAAGTCTTGAGGCCCAAATGGAGGCATATTTAAGCAAAGCTCTTGTGACCTCTTGGAAAAGGCACTGTACTGTTCATATGTTTTATGATGATCAAATATCAAATAGCTTTATTCCATTTATAACAAGGTAACTTGACATATTTCATAGCAATAATGGCTACTATTTAGCGAGTGCTTCCTATATGCCAAAGACTGTATGAAGAACTTTACATTCATGATCTTGTTTAACCATTCTTCTAGCTCTATGAGGTATATGTTCTTAATGTGCCAAGTTTAGAGGTGAGGAACTCAAGGTCATGAAACTGACCAGTGGCAAAGCTAAGAACCAATCCTGGCCTGATCAATTTTCAAGTCCCTGCTTTTTGCCTCTTTGTTCTGCTATTTTTATGGTGACTGCAGCCTCAATCTTGTACGGAAGTTATCTATAAAGTAATGCCCACAATTTCTATCAAACTGCCAAAGGAAATATGTTACTTTATAGTCAAGTCAGATCAGGAATATCTGCCCAATTTGTTTAGTGACTTTTGAAGGAAGATATTTTACAAGTCTTCTGAAAATTAAAAGAATAATATAATATATTTTTCCCCTTGTTCATAAATGTGCACAAACATGGAGCTGTTGGCTTAAGTAATAGATATTTTACTGCAAAGCCATGAAGAAACTCCCTATAAAGGATAGTAGTCTATATTCATGAGGTTCTAATTAAGGAATGTAAGAATTCTGTGATACAACAAAATGAAATGCCAATGAAAAGAGTCTAAAATATTGCCCACTCCTTTGATAAAAATCCACACATTTAAAAAGATTTACCAATGGAACTGCTCTCAGGAGTAAGAAACAATTAGAAGATGATACTGTCTATCATTTGGAAAACCAAACCAAACAACCAAATTAAATCAACCTACCTTCAAAACAACAAAACAATCACACACATACACATACAAAACAACTTGTGAAATGAAAATAAAAGTCAAGAAGCATTACTGAACACATTTTAAGGAATTACTGACATGTCTGTAATGACTCAAAAAACTTTAATACAGCTTTTTTAAAAAAGGGAATGCTTAAAAAAAATCAATAATGGCATTTCCCCTTTGTAAGCATTTGTGACAGAACTGTGTCATATGGAACAGGGGGCCAGATGAAGGCCTCCAGTGGCCTCCACTTACATCAGAGGTTCCAGAGACTTGGGCTTAATGAAGATGGCAATGGGATAGAGCTGAGCAACTTGTAACCTCTTGATAGCATTTCCTGATACGTCAAGTATACAGTGTTTGCCCTGGTAGAAAGAGAAGAAAAATATGGAGTTAATCCAGAAAAAGTGATCATAATCCAACAGCCACTAAAAACAATGCAAGTGTGTTAGGGGAAGATAAGGGATAATGGATTTCTCAGGGTTGAGAAGGATCACTGCAAAGCACAAGTAAAAGTTGTTACATAGGTGATTGCTGAATGCTTGCCATGACTAGTATTTATCACTCCCTTACTAAGTGTCTGCCCTTGGGATAGACATTCCACATGTGTTATCTCAGTTAACTGTTTTCTTTTTAATGGAATTTAATGGGGTGACCTTGGTTTGCAAACCATACAGGTTTCAAGCGTACAACTCAATAAAACATCATCTGCACACTGCATGGTGCACCCATCTCCCCAATAAATAGCTGATGCTTTGTCCAGAGAAGATATGTAGACATATGTAATGTGACCGGTCTATTCTCATAAAGCTCGGAAACCATCTCTGAAGACAACTGTCAAGAAGGAATTCCCACATCTATGAGGTAGGTATTATCAACTGCATTTTACAGAAGAGAAGACTAAGGCTTAGAAATATGAACGAACTTGCCCAAAGTCTCAGTGTTAGGAGGATGGAAACACAAATCTTGAGCACTCACAGAGCTGTTGGTTGGAATAAATGGACACCTCATTGCCTCATCCCGCCTGATGGTAAATTTGGAGGAATGGTAATCATGTGAATTTAGAATAATTCCATAAGTATTTGCTGAGTGCTTATATGTATCCTGACCTTGATATGCCCAGCCTAGCAGAGGACACTCACAACAAGAGGTACCTTAAATCTTGTATCTTAAATGCTGAGAGAGAGGCTTACACAGGGTATGTAAATTTCTTGTTTGTTAATGAATAGAAACCCTATTACATTATAGCACAGCTCATTTAACTTGGCTTCCACTGCAATGAGTGCTCAGAGCAAGGAGTTGCTTTATAAAGTATTTCTAGAAAAGTAGATATATTTGCCACACATCAGATTCTACCTCCTGGAGAGAAATGGCCTCATTACTCTGATGCTGGCAGAACTTTACACAAGAAGAGAAAAAGCACATTATGCAGATAGAAACAGTCCTAAATAGGGGATAACAACTCATCTATAATATTTAAGTGAAAATGAGCTGAGTCCATGAATACTTGAGCTCTTATAATAGGAGAAATGCACTGAGATGGTTCAAGCCTTTACCACAGAAGTAATAGATTCCAAGTCTGCTATCTGTGAAGTGTAGCAGCTGCATAAAGTTTCTAAGTGATTTATTCACTGGCCAGAACATTTCGAGTTAACAACGGTTGTATCTTTATGTTCAAAGAGGAACTAGATGCGATTCTCCAGGAAACCGATTACAAACAGTATGTTATAGAAACTAACTTTTGAGAGAGAGGGAAATAGATGCAGCTGCTTATTCTTAGGTAGACATTTAAATTTCTTACTTCATTTTTGTACCAGTACATCAACAGGAAGAAAACAGTATTCAACCCAACAATAAATATCAATTATATAACAAATATAATTGGCTCTTAACTCTTTTCCCCCCTCTTATGAAATGAATTCTCTGTTGACAGATCTGGATGTCTCTATAGGCAGATCTTAAAGCCACACTCATGTGCTTTTCTATCCTATTCTCTTTGGAATGTTCTCCTCTTTTCAGTCACTTAAAATTATTAGCAGAGAGGCGATCGCAGCAACAACAGCAACCTTAAGTTGGAATTTTTGCCAGTAGTAGGCTAGGCAGTCAGCCCATCTCTCTCTCTTGATCACGGGGATCTTAAGTTTTGCTAATAAACAGACTAGAGGATGCTGATCTAAACCACCAAGAGTAATGAAGCTTCCTTAATAAGTTCGATGTTGTTTACTGGGACCAAAGTCAAGGACAAAGGGAATCTTCATAAACTTCAAGCTGTTCAATGCCTTTATGTTTATACTCCACCCTTGCCCCCTCAAGTCCATCAGCTTATTTTACTGAGATTAGAACAAAGATTAATGACCATGCTCTAAAGTGATTCTTTGCTTAGAGGTCTAAAAGGATTATTTCATCAAACTTTACAACTGCAATCAGGAAAGAGTAATGACCAAAATATGCAGTTTGCCAGCTGGGACCCGTCGGCAGGGGAGGTGTACGATGGTTGGTGAACATACCCTTTCTGCTACAAATCTCACAGACTGCACACTGGTTCCATACAAGTTGTCGTTGTACTGGCCGGCTTCTATAAACTTGTGCTCTTGGATATCCTTCTCCATTTGTTCTCTGGAAATGACAAAGTGATAGTCTCTGCCATCCACCTCGTAGTCACGCTTTGGCCTTGTAGTATCTTCATAAAACAAAAAAATAACATGAAGATCTTACATTGACACCCATAAACTTCGTTACACTTATTTACCCCACTACACACCCAACATAAATAGATAAAAATATGTAATATGAAGTACCATGGCACAGTCATAGGTACCAGTCTTAAGCCTCCTACTGTAAACAACTATAAAACTAGACAAAATATATGGAACAACTATTTTCAGGCATCAGAAAACAGGCACAGTGCAGAGCTGTGATTCTTGATAAGAGAAACATATAAGGGGAACTACATTCACTCCACTTTCATTTCTTAATGGATAGTCTAGAGGTCATACAGTGGCCCCAGAAAGATCATATTTTGGAAAGTTACTCTAGACCCATCTTCACCATCATTACTGGAAGAAGCTGATCTGTCAGTAAATTATTACCTGTCAGGACAAAAACTTAATATTTTATAAAGAAAAATTACAAAACCCAGGTTCTCAGTGATGTAATATCACAATAAAATATTATGGGACAAGCAATGAAGCAAGAAAATGTGTCATATAACCAGGAAAAAAAAGGACATACAGTAGAAATATATTCAGGAATTTAAAAGTATATAAAATTAGATCATCACAGTTTAGGTGGGACTCAAAGTCATCAACTCTAATTGTGGCTAAATTCTTTGTAAGAGGAGAACAGCAAACAATTATCAATATCAATAAAAAATGTTAATATATTTCCAATCTTTGATTTAGCTACAGTATTTCTAGGAATCTATATTAAAAATTGCCAACACATAAAATTTTATCTTGAAAGATGTTCAATTATACCAGTTTATAAATTATAAATAACTTTAACATTTAATTATAATTCCATAATAGTGAAAAGCAGAGAAAACCCAAAATACCCATAAAGGAAGATGCTTAATTATGGCATAGTAAACATTCAAAATATTTATATAAAATCTCTATATATGAAAGGGTAATATGCTAAGTGTCCCTCTGACTGTCCAAGGAACAGACGCTCAACGCAGGAGCTGCTGTGACGTGCACTGGCCATTTACAGGAGCTGCTGTGACGTGCACTGGCCATTTACAAAGGAACAGCACCACGGACCTCAGGCCCACAAAGCAATACTTGGCTTCCCCGAAGTGGGACACAGGCCCAGCTGCTGCTGCCAAGACCCCATGGCGCAAAATGTGGTCCACAGCCCAGCCCGGAAACGGTTGCTGTGGGCACCAGGTAATGATGTCACGCAGCAACGCTCGGCTTCCTCTCTCTAGAGCAGCGGTTCTCAACATGTGGGTCGAGACCCCTTTGGCAGTCGAACGACCCTTTCACAGGGGTCGCCTAAGACCATCCTGCATATCAGATATTTACATTAAGATTCATAACAGTAGCAACATTACAGTTATGAAGTAGCAACAAAAATAATTTTATGGTTGGGTCACAACATGAGGAACTGTATTTAAAGGGCCAGAAGGTTGAGAACCACTGCTCTAGTGTCTAGTCTCCTTGGAGTTTCTTCAGCCCAGGAACACAACTTGCTTTACAGCCAGTTGGAAACATTTTACATTTTCACCAAATGTCTGAGAAGTGTTTTCCTGTGCCTCATCTCATTTGATCCTCACAGAAGTCCTGGAGTAGGTAGATAGGAGACTCAGTAGAATCCTATTTTCTTTTCATTAGCCAGAAAACGGAGATTGAGAAAGTTTAGAAACTTGACCCGACTGAAAAGAAGTAAGAAATGGTGGACCTTGAAAATGACTTCAGGTTTTCTCACTGTGCAGAATAGTCAAACACTGCTGCAGTTAAACATTTTATCCTTTGTTCTCCCTGTGTGATCTATAATGATAATCTGCTTTGTGTTGATATTTACTGCTGTGTTGCTGATAACTACTTGAAAGAGAAGTTGGGGTGCTTCACTGGGCTGGAAAAAGTTTAGCTAAATCAGAAAGCAGGTCTAATTAAGCAAGTTTATCTATATATATAAAGCTCTTGCTGGCACCAATCACATGCGTGTGTTTCCATCTGTCAGGTTGATTGTGAATTTGGTTGACACTTATAGAGAAAGGGTGAATAGCAATATTAAAACATTTCTTCTAATTAATTTCCTTTCAATGTGCATGAATTTGTGCACTGGCCCTCTAGTTTTAATATTAAATAAAAAATACTGTATATATCTAATATGTATCCAACCACAGGAGAAAATGCTCATATAGAAAGAATGAATAGATGGAAAATACTAACAGTGATGTTATTTCTGGGTAATGTGTGGGATTCTGTATGTTTTTATTTTCTTGTTTAACTCTATTTTTAGCATTTTCAAGTTTTAGAAACACGTGTTTGTAAACACGTACAATGAACACGTGTTTATTATCATTTTATAGTGCTATTAATTAAAAAAAGAGTAAGAGAAGAGTGTGCAAGGTTGAGGAGAAAATGAAAATGATACTTAAGGATTGTGTGTTTTTTTTCAAAATTGGAGGAACAAACTGGAAGTTGCTATAAGTAGTTTGACTTGATCATTTCTATGTGGAGTCTTTTTCAGTATGGGTTCTTTGGCAGGTTCTCTCCCCAGAACCCTCACTGGGAACAGTTTCACGAGATATAGTCATCATTCTAGTTCCCTTCTGTTCATGTACTGCACACATATAATTCCTGCTATTCTTATGCATTCCAGGTGACATGTGTAGTACTGAAATATAAGAGATACTTCAAAGCATAGAGCTTTAAAAATGTAGAGTGAGAAAGAAATATTTGTTGGGATCAGTTTTAAGAGCTCAATTAGCTAATCAATTAAAATTTTCTGGTGGGTTTGTCTACATACACAGAAGGCTTCCATGCATTAATTTGACAGTGAGAAAGATGGAAGTGAGTTGAGTAGGGAATATATGGTGGGTGGAAGGAGGTAGTGCAGAGAGAATTTTACAGGGATACTCTCAGAGGGACCAGGATACCTGATAGTTGTCCATGTGACAAAGTAGATTAAAGTCTGTAATGGCCTAGAGGGGACATTAAAGTTTTATACACCTTCTTGTCTTCATCCTCCCAACACCTGGGACTATTAACACACAGGGGAAGACTATTTTGTTTTATTTTTAAACTGATGCATGGCTCTAAGTCATCTTGAGGTGATTTTAACATAAGACTGTTTCTGAGCTCTCTCATTCTGTGGGAAAAGATGCTTCAGTGGCATTTCAATCAATCTACAAGAACATACCGATGCCTATCAATAATCCTCTGCTATTTTAAATGCTATCACAATTATAAGGACAGGATCATCCTGCTTTCTTGGTGAGCACAGTCAGTGTGGAGAACATACCATACTCACTAAATAGAGAACAATACATAGCAGGATAGATGAAAAGCATTAGGCAGATAACATTAAATAAGATGCATAGACAGTAGGTAATTGAAAATATTTGAATCACTGGAGAGACTATTGGAGGAACAGAATTACGTTTTATCATCTCAAAGGGAGCCAGGCCTTCCCGCCCGCCCCTCAGAGAAAAGAGAAGTGATACTTACGAGGCACACAGGAGCCAAATTTGTCAGGGAATTCAGATATCAAGTCGTCGTTGATCCGATCCTTCATGGGGCCCAGGATAATCACTGGCCGAGTGTAGTTTACTGTAGAGAGGAAGAGGAAGAGGCAGATGAGGAGAGAGACACGGAAATGACTGTAAAATTGCCAAACAATAAGAGTTGTGGGGCATTACTGCATTGGATAAATTGCCCATACAGCCCTGCATTGGGAAATTGATGTTTGACATGGAACCTGTTTGTTTGCTGTGACTACTTTCTGGAATTTATTATCAGGAAAAAAGCAACTGCAGTGTCTGTCAATGAAATTCAGAAGCATTTGGAGGGGTTTTGCTTGCTCTTAGGCTGTGCCTACACGATGTCAAAACAAATACTGCATTTTGTCAGCTCAGTGGGAGAAGAAAGATTCCAAAGCAGCTGTTTGGCCATTGTTTAGATAATGACTTTACAAAGTAATTGTTAGTAGTAACAGAAACTTATGTTTTTATAATTTCTCCTCCTCGGCTCAAAATGCCGTTTATACTCTGTGGGGTTTTCCCCATCCCCTTGTAGTGAGGGGTTAGAAGGAACTGTGAAGTTCATTGGGTACAAGTCCTCATCGGATGCTTGCATTGTCTCTACAATGTCACAGCCATTAGCTTCTATCTGAATGCCTCCAGGAAAAGCAAAGGCAGGCTCCTGGAGCAGCCCACAGATGACCTGTAACCTAGGCCAGGTCTGCTAGAAAGCCCTTCAGTCTCCTGGGAGATTGTATCCAGTGCTATAGGTGGGGCTCTCTGTTAAGGACCACTCATCTGGAGGGGCTGCTCCCTCCTCCATGGTCAGCAGTGTGTGTTGGGGATAGGGCAAAAGAGAGAGCATGTGTCCTGACAGCCGAGCATTAAGCAGAGTTTATTTCCTTTATTCCTTCACTCTTTCCCTCCTATTGTGGTGTCACCTGTTGTGGCCTGGAATTCAGGGAGCAGAGAATGCAGGGAAACTTACTTTCCTGCCTTGAGACAGGCTCGTAAGAAAGAATGAAGTCTTCTTGCCCTCCTGGGAAGAGAAGAAAGGAAATGTACAGTGGACTAACAACCAGTCACATACTACAGCTACAAGCACTGCTCTGAAGCACAGGAAACAGGCACAGTTCAGGGTTCATTTCCCGTACTCTCTCTTCTCGTTTGATTCCAAAACTCCCTTCATCCTCATAAAACTGTTTAGCACTATCACAGTGTCAGGTTACCGGTGGCCATGCCTCTAGGTAACGAATGGAGGCTAGTTGTCTGCAGCTCATCAGGGCAGTGGCTTCTGAGGCTGCCTTTCCTCTGACACTGAGCAGTGGAGCACCATGGCCCCTACACCCAGCATTACTACTTAAAACAAGATCGTCTAGTTCAATGGTCGGCAAACTGCGGCTTGCGAGCCACATGTGGCTCTTTGGACCCTTGAGTGTGGCCACGAAGTTTCAATCGCATGGTACGTGCGTGCCCGCACGTGGTATTTTGTGGAAGAGCCACACTCAAGGGGCCGCAGTTTGCCGACCACTGGTCTAGTTCAAAAACAGGCTCCATCCAATAGTTGGCTGCTTAGATTATCAGAATTTCGGGACCTTTTATTTCATCTTCTATTTTATTTCCCAAAGAAGCACACTATTCAAAAGCAAGTGTCTGCTTGCTTCATTTATGATGCAAAAACTTCCTCAGCATATATTACTGGACACTGAGGATTTTACTCTAATGTTAATTCATCAGGAAAATGCTGAGTCAAGAAGGTAAAAAATTAAAGAGTCCCCTAAGTCCTTGGTGATAATTGCCATTAAATCTAGCTGTGAAACTCTGGGAAAAGAACTAGGAAAGACAATGTAGCAAAAGTGTCAGCCCCTCCCTGTCATTTGCCACCAGCCTCTGATTCATGGTGGGCCTCAAGCCAACAAATAACTATGGAAGGTAAATTGGTTTTAGGCAAATATTTTTTTCAATCAACTATTTTATCCAGTTGATGACCTGGGCATGAGATTAGGCTGATTCAGCTGCAAACCCAGAAGGGTCTGCTCTTTTATTTGCTTTAGACCGGGGGTAACTATCCTTTGATGGGAAATAGTTTAGGGCTGTTGAAAAGGGCTTCCTGTCTGTTGTCCTACAGAGGAGGTAATTTTTCCTGAAACCAAAAGGCAATGAATCTTACTGCTTTATCTTCCCATCACCCCTCAAACACTGTCCGTCTGTCAACACCACATGTTCCTCCTTCAAAAGCCATAGCACCAGACCAGGTGAGTTCATTTCATAAAAAGAGTTCATAGCATAGTCAGTTGCAGACTGACAGCAGATTTGGGGAAATTAAGCAAGTATGTGGAGAAAACTATGAAATACAGATGTCTTCCCTAGAGACTGGGTAGGTGGGGTTGGGTCGGGGTGTCTTACATTTATAAGCATGAGAAGTGGCCCCGGCTTAAGTCATACTTACTTCACCCTTAAACAGGGCCTATTCTCAGAATGGCACCGCTAGGCCAACCTATTTCCTAAAGGCATGGAGAGTGGGCCTGATGTTCTTTCTAAGTGGCATCTACTCATAGCTTCCCTAGAAGTCCTCAGGGCACATTCTCACATCTGGGCAGGGGTTTGGTATGTGAAGAGTCAGATTCACAGTATTTTAAAATTCAGGAAAAATGATTCATTTTAATAAAACTGACATTTACGGATGCGAGGCAAAAAAACCCACTTATCTAAAGCCTGAGAGGTAGAGGTCATAGGAATCAAAATACAGGTGTAAAATAGTTGGGGGAAAGTATAGCTTTGGGAATAGAAGAATGGCAGACTTAGAGTTAATGTTAGACTATTTTTACAGGGAAATTTAGGTGGAATGATTAAAATGTAAAAGGAGAATACTAACTATGGTCTAACAAAAGTTTTAAACATCAGGTGATATTTATATCCCGCCACTAGACTAGGAACTCCATAAATAAAGGAGTGGGTTTCATTTACTACTGTGTCTCCAGCACTTAACATAATGATGTCAATAAATTTGCCTTCTGATTTCAGTGGTAGAAAACAGGATGAGTAATGAGGCCAAAGGTAGGTTCTACTTTGTGTTTCTATGTACGTTCACTTTAGGAAGTATGGTTTTCTCTCAATGAATGTAACACATTATGTTCCCCTAGGAATCTCTTTCCAGTGGTCTTGCAAATCATTCTAATAAGGTATTTGGTGTCAGTCCGTATAATTTGTGATTCACAAAACTAGGTCAAAGCAACATAGCTTTGATTAATTTTGTTAGACAGATCTGTAGTTCTTTGTTTATCCATTGCTTTTTGGTTTACTTTCTAACTTATACCAGGCACTGCTTCTTGTTCAGAACAGTAAGACTAGCAGTGGCAACATCCCTATGTCAAGGCCCATCCCAATTCTAATGACTCTGCGACAGTCAGGTGTTATGTAAAGAAGTTTCTAGGGAAGCTATGGTGGTTGGTATCACATAATAGCTGTGAATTCGGCACCTTAAACCAATTTTCACTTTCATGTTCAAGAATGAAAAGCCCTATGGGTAATGGAAAGAAGACTAAGAGGCAGAGGGAAAAAGGTCACAGCAATGAAGGAAAGATAATCCATGTGTATGGCACTTTCCAGGCCATAAAGGGCTTTCACAGTCATTTCTTTTGTGGTAGGTGCTCTGATGATAACCCATTTTACAGATGAAGTAGCTGAGGATAAGATATAATGGGGCCTGTTTTCTCAGGTAGTAAGTAGTGGAGTCAATATTTAAAATCACACCTTTTTTTGACTCCTTGTTGAGTATATGACACTGTCTCAAAAAGGCAAGACATGTAGAATTCTCTGGGGGCTGGGATATAGAAGCAGATCTTACCAATGAGCAAAGAATGGGTGGCAGAGATAGCCGCTGAACTGGGTCAGAGTCACTGAGGGGCCACCTATGAACACCACCTATGAACATCAACTCTTAAAAAAAGTTGTGTTATCTCCATAAAATTGTCATTGGTAGTAGTTTTTCTATTTTTTTTCCGGAGGTGTTGGCACTTGGGAAGAACGGCCAACAAAAGGGTACCAACTGTTACTTGGTCTTGTTTTTGCAACTGCATGGCTAAGAGTGGGAGAGCAGCAGTGCTGTGTGGGGGCATCTGCAGCTGCAGGAAACAGCCTTTGTAACAATCTCCATGAAACACCTGGTGTTTGAACTGGAAGCAAGTCACAATAAGGGGAACTTGGAGTAAGACCTTGATATGCACTCATGATAGAGAAAAGCAAGTTGATGTTCTTTTGGAATTTTTGGAAACTAGAAAAGAGAGGAGGGAAGAGAAGACCAGGGATAGTATATTTAATATTCTAAGTTTAGTGCCTCCATTTGATGGTTGTTAAGAATAAATTAGGTTCTTAGAGTCATAGAATGTTAGTGTTAAGGGTTTGAAGTTCCTGTGGTTCATAGATGGCGAGTATGTAGCACATGATGTCACTCCCCCATTCCATGTCCTTGACCGGCATCACAATGGGTCATTGCCTGAGTTACTGCAGAGCCTTAAGTTGGCCTCAGTACTTCCAGGACAACTCTTCAGGCAGTATTACCAAATGGTCAGAGTTGTAATCTTAATTAAAATCTACTTGCCATCTCTGTTTGAAACCAAACTACTCATTTTACATAGGAGAGAACTGAGGTTCAAAGACAGTGATTTCTTCCAGATCACAGTGAATCTCCAGGGGATGTTCAGAGGATTAAATCAGTTAATGTACTATATAGGGCCTTAACATCAGGCTTAGAACATGGTTAATGCTATATAAAGGTTGCTGCTGTATTAATTTGACAGGTAGATGGGATGGTTGAAATATTCCAGAGAAAACATGAAGAGGCCTGGATTACAAACTCTAGGGGAGGGTGGGAATGTACAGGATTCAGAATTAAAATGCCTTGGTTGGACCTGCAGTGCCACCATGTCAGCGAGGTACATTGCCTCTTGGAACTTCAGCTACTTTATCTGTAAAATGGAATATTACTACAAGATGCATCTCATAGTTTTGTTGTAGAAATCAAATGAGAAAATAGATATAATGAAAAATTGCTTTATGAAGGCTAAAGAACTACAGGAAATATAAGGGCAATATTTGGGACATGAAGCCAAGGACAAGAATATGGGCATCATTTTGACTGATTCCAATGGAAAAGTCTTGGGTCTCCTCATCAGCCCCTCAACTTACTCAGATCACTTCCTTAAGCTTCTAGTTTTAAAAATTCTACTTAGCTGATGAGCACCAATGGGTTAGAAAGATAATCATCAGCTCCCCCTATCCATAATGACATAAGAGCTTTACTGAGCTTTGAGGAAGGCAGTCTTCAGCTGTAGGGATTGGCAAGTCTCCATTACACCTGCATGGCTTCCTTGCATCCCGATACAAGGGCAATTGAAAACGAAGCCACAAATACAGCCAGCACTGTACTACTTTGTTGACAGACAGAAATCTGAAATGAGTCCATAATTAAGATAGTTCTGAGGTGGCATTAGCACAATTAGAAAATGTGCCCTATAATTATCTGCATTTGGCTAGTGCTCAGTATAGTTGGATTTTGAAAAAAAAATTCTATAATGATTGAGATGGTGCAGCAAAGCTCTGAGCTATTTATTAGAATTTGAGGTTTGTTTAAATGTGTGTGTATGTGTGTCTTCTCAGGAATGTATGAGGCTTTTAAGTAAGGTTGTTACAATCTGTAACTCCAGGATGCAGTGTGCATGGTGCAGCCTGGGTCTTTGCTTCTAACTGCTGATTTAAAGCTATTTTGTCCCCAGCGTGGACATGGAATGATTTTAAGGGTAAAAAATAACACGGGGACATCAGTGGAAAATGGTCTTTTCAGTGTTTGTTTACTCTGCTATTTATGAGACATAAAGTAGTCATAATTACAGCAAAAGCCAGGAAATCAATAGAAAGTGCAGCCTGTTTTGATTTTAAAATGGCACTTTCTGGAAACCATGTCTGTCCCAAGCCCGTGTGCCTTTTTTCATGCCACTGTCCTACCTGGAAGGTTTCTTCCTAAACGTATCTGGCTGGTAA